GTCCACTGTGCACCCTGCAGTCCTGCTGAGTCCCTTTCTCCTTTCCTGAGGGTCTGTAGATCTGTGAAGGTGTGGAGTGTCCACTGTGCACCCTGCAGTCCTGCTGAGTCCTTTCTCCTTTCCTGAGGGTCTACAGATCTGTGAAGGTGTGGTGTGTCCCCTGTGCACCCTGCAGTCCTGCTGAGTCCCTTTGTCCTTTTCTGGTTGCTTTAGACTTGTTCTTTCTTAGGTTTTGGAGACCTCGTCTTTGACTAGTGAGCATTTCACAGTTGTCCCTTAGTTTCCAAGTGTCGTCTTTCTGTTGTTAGTGTTTTTTCTTATTCTCTGTTGGTCCGAGAACACATACTCTGTGATTTGAGAGCTTCTGAATCTGTTGAGCAGAACTTTGTCTTGATGTGTGCTTTGCTGTGGCCTGAGAAGAATGTGGACCTGCAGGCCTTCCCCTGCCTGACGTGTTGACCTCTTCTCCGCCCTTGGGGACCTTGCTCTGTTGTTGGTGAGAGGGCTGTGGAACTCTCCAGAATAACTGTGGCTCTGCTTGGCCCTCCTTCCGTTCCTCCCGTGTTTGTGGCTCTCTAGTGTGCTGCACATGCACGTGGCAGGGCCTGCGACTGCACTTTCCATCGCTACATCTGTGGCCGCTGCCTCTCTGAAGTCAGCCTGCCCTCAGGCCAGCCCCCCTGCCTCCCAGCATGTGCGGGCATGAGGCAGGCTCTCCCCTCACTTCTGGCCTGCCCAGTAAGCTACCTGAGTGAATTTTTTGCAGACAGCGGGGAGTTGAGTCCTGTTTTAAATCCATCCGTGCAGTCTCTTCCCTGGGCTTGGTGTGTTTGGGCCATTTATATTTAATGTAGTACTTTACCTATTAGGGATCAAGTCCAGCAGCCCGGTGTTCATTCTCCCTTTTTCCTGCTTTCAGCTTCTTTTTTCTTTTTGAGACTTCTGATGTGTTACTTGCACATTTTTTAGAACTTGGACCTTTATCTCTGGGAGAGTGTTTGGTGGCTTTGTTGGTTGCTGGTGTCAAGTTGTAGCAGGGGAAGCCTGGGTGTGGGGCCTCCCTGCTCGAGGTGCGCTTGTGCACAGCCCGAGGCCCGCTGCGCCCTGCGGTGTCCACTCTGTCCTGCCTGCTGTCTCTCCCCCCTTCTGTCTTCCCCTGTCTGTTCAGACAACTTCTGCCACGGTCTGCGAGAGGCCTGCTGGTCATCCGAGTCTGCCCTGGTTTCTCTTCTGGTCCTGTGGCCTCTCCTGCTGCTCTGCCAAGGCCCTCTTCTTCTCTGTTGGTCTCCAGTGTGTGTCTGGCCGCCCATGAGGCTGTTCACGGTGTCTGCTTGGAAGGCCACCGCAGACTTTGCAGCACCGCAGTCGGTTGGCCTCCAGTGGCCCTCGTGGGCGGGAGGCCTGGTGGCTGTGAGTGCTGCGAGTGGGGCCTGGCTCCATGGCAGCTCCCGCAGAAGCGGTAGGGTTTGCAGCTGGCCCAGCCAGGCCCTGTGACACCAGGGCCCCCCCCACTGCCTGGTGCTGGGAGCCCCTGCTCCCCACAGTCCCTTGAAGCCCTGGCGGCAGTGTCCTCTCCTCAGGGTCTCTGATGCCCCCCAGTGTAGAGGGGCATGGGTGCCTTCTCACCACCCGCTGGGGTGAGTCCAGACCCCTGTGTGGCCACTGCCGACTCTTGGGGTCGTCACACCCACTCTGGGGCCCTCCCTTAACCTCGGGTGGGCAGGTGGGCTGGCAGGAGCGAGGCTCTTCGGGAGTCYCCCCGTTGCTGGCTGCCCCTCCTGCTCCTTCGGTCCGTCTTTCCCCGTCAGTCAGCATCTTGAGGTTGCTGCTTCTACAGTTCCAAATACGTGAGGCAGAGGAACCCGGCGGCCTGCCATCACGTGGTGGAGGCTGGTGGTGGGCTCCTTCCCCACCCGTCCACCTCCATGCTCTGACGGTCCGAGGAGTCCTGGGGTTTGGGGACAGGGACAGGGAGAGGTGACCTCTGGGGAGCCGAGTTCTCACCGACTCTTTTAATAGTGCCCGCCCGAGAGGGCGCTGGAGCCCCACCTGCTGGTGCTGAGAACCCTCTGCCTTCTAGACCCCAGTACCTGGGTCAGGGTCTGTCCCTCCCTGTGTCCCAGGGACGAGGAGGAGACACTTCTGCAGCTGGCCTGGCTCTTCCCAGCTGTTGCTGTGCAACTCCTGCCTCTGAGCTGGAGCCGGGGCCTCCTGCTGCCCCGGACACCCCTGGACTGGCTCTGCTGAGGGAAAGCCTGGGTCGCAGGTGTTTCCCGAGGTCTCGGGTAGCTCTGGGGAGCAGCCCGTGGAGGCCACGCCTGGCAGGACACACACCAGGGGCTCTCTGGGGAGAGGTGGCAGGAGCCCTCTCAGGACTCACCAGTGGGCAGTAGGCCTCCTGTGACGCGCTCCAGCCCGAGTGTGGGCTCTGGAGCAGCCCTGGCAGGTGCCCCGACGGGGCTGCGAGGCCTGCGCGGGCCTGCACCCTCACCCACCCTCTCTGCTCTAGTTCCTCATCTACTGTGTGTACTTCCTGGTGCTGTCTGTCATCTTCTTCTTGGGAGCCGGGCTGGACGGTCTGCGGCACTGCCAGCGGGACCGCCACCAGCCCCTGCCCCTGGCACAGGAGCTGAGAAGCCCCTTGGAGGAGAAGCCTGGGCGGCTGCYGAGTGTGGAACAGGGCCTGGGCGGCCTTCATCCCTCGGCCCCACCACTGCCCCTGGAGGACTGCGCAGAAGATGGCCCTGGGACCCTGGGGCCTGTGGCCAAGGCCTGACACGGCCTGACCTCTCCAGCAGGTTCCACACTGCCCTGACAGCCCGCGACAGGCCCCAGCACCGTAGACTCCCACAGCGGGGGCGGGCCTCGTGTGGGTGCCCCCTGGCAGTGCCTGGCGGGGGGTGCCTCCTCGGGCCTTAGCACTGGCGGCCTCGGACCCCCACCCCTCAGCCCTGCCGCACTCTGGTGGTAGCCAGAGTGTGCCAGGGACACTCAGGGCACACACCTCGGGCGACTGTGGACTGGGCTGGGCTTGCTGGTTGAGGGGCCCGTGGTGGGGTCCCCGGGGTCTTCCAGGCCTCCCTGCCTGCACCCCCTGGGGAGGCTAGAGGCAGATGCTGTGTCCCCAGGGGCTGGCATGGTGGCCCCACGGGCCTGGGGCTCTCATTTACTGTGACACTTCCCGACATCCTAGGTGCTTGCATTTTGGACGATGCTGTTTTTATATCTGTGTAAAATGAGGAGCCGTTTGGCTTCTCCATCGTGTGCGAGAAGCTGGTCTCAGGGGTGTGACAGAAAACCCATCAGATGGAGTGGTGGCTTGGGGCCCTCAGAGCCAGTCCTTCCCACCAAGGCTTCAGCCCAGGGTCTTTAGTTCTTCCCTCTGTTCCCGGAGTGACCTGAGATAAGGGCGGCTTGGAGCTGGTCAGACGCTTTGGACAGCCAGAGAGGACTATGGACAGGCCACCTGGATGTGAGCTGGGCTTGTGGGGAGCAGCAGGGCCTTCCCAAGAGGTCTGCCTCCCTGGGGAGGTCCGCGGGCCAGTGGCCTCTGGGTCCGAGCCGGTTGTGTGACCCTCTGTGACAGGAGGGTCTTTTGTGAACACTTTACCCAAATAAACCTGGAACCTGAGTGTGAGGTGCTGACCCCAGGCCCTGGCAGCCAGGGACCCACCAAGGCCAACAGGTTAAGTGGGCACCTTGGGGGTTGCAGGGTCCATGTGAGGGTGGCCAGGCCCGAGCTGAGAGTGTTCAGGGCAGTGGGCCCAGGCAAATCCACACAGGAAGGGTAGCCCTGTGCCACAGGCCAGGCTGTGGAGGGACAGAGCGTGACACCCCGTGGCCGCTGCGCTTGGCCACACAGGCTGCAAGCACTGGAGTTTCTCTGCCGCTCCTGGGCGCCCTGCCGGCTGCCAGGGCAGGGACAGTGTTTCTGGGGCACAGGCTAGCCCCCCTGGGGGTCAGGTCCTACCAGGACCCAGCACTCAAGCCCACACAGACCTGAGGCGTGGTTTTGAGGTCAGCCTGAGTACTGCTGTCAGGGGCCCCACCAGCAAAGGGTCCCACAGTGTGTCATGCGCCTGCACATCTGCACACCAGATGCCTCTTCAGTGCTCTGACACCCAAGCACGCTGTGTGTGCCTGCACGGGGACCCCCAGGGACAGAGGGCTCACTCTGCGGGCTCTGCTCTTCTCACGTGGGGAAACTGCTCACAAACATGGTCACCGTGGAAGGTCATTTTATTTGGTGCCTATTTGAAATTGCTTCAAAACACACAGGTGCAGAACCAGCCCCCCAGTTTTCTCCCAGTCCTCAGACAGCAGATCCCGAGGTAGGGGTGTGTTGGCACTGTGGCTGTGGGCAGCCCAGTGTGGCCCTGAGCACACACACGGCCACCTTCTGGACGTCCGAGCATAGCGGAGCACTGGGACAGGAGGCGCCACAGCCTGACTTGTGAGCCCCACAAAACTCCCGCTTCGACTTGGCTGGGGTCAAGTTCCGGTCAGATCTGGTGTGGTCTTGGGTCACCTGGGAGGCCAGCCAGGGAGAGGCCTGGAGGAAAGCCGTAGACACACCAAGTCCGGCCACACTCCTGGCCCTGCACAGTGTTGAGGAACATGGCCAGCCTGGGGTGGCTGTGGGCCCTGAGCTTGGACTCTGCCCCAGTGGGGGCACTGTGGTTGCTGTAGAGTGGCAGGGAGCCGAGGACAGGTGGCCCTTGCCCCGTGCCTGGCCGTCCTGTTCACCACCTGAGCAAGCCCATGCCTGTCTGCCTCTGGCACAGCCTGAGTGGGAGGGGAGGGCCCCAGGTGCCCTGCAGACCAGGTGTCAGCACCCAACCTCTTCTGGTCTGCAGTGGGACTGGGTCCTGTGCACAGCCAAGGTGGAGGCAGGAGAGGGTCTGCCTGCCAGAGTGGCAGGGGGCCCTTCCCGGCGCCTGGGAGCTCAGGAGCCTGCGGGTGGGAAGTCCTGTGTCAGCCTCTTGCTGAAATCCAGCTGAGGTCTGATCTGGGCCTCTTAGAGCAGGGGCCATGACAGAGTGGCCAGCACAGGCCATCGGGGAGAGGCCGGAAGCCTTGGCTCGGGCTTCCTGTTGTGAACTTTTAGAAAACTACTCTTTGGCTTCCTTTTATTTCTGGAGGATTACATGAAATGTGGACTGTGTAGGAATGTCCCAGCCAGGTCCCGGGGGCTGGCTAGGTGCTCCCTGCCTGGGCCTGTCCTGAGAGCCCCGCTCCATGCACGTCCGAGCCAGCAGAGGCCCTATTAGGAGGAGGAGGTCATGAAACTGTTCTCGATGCAGAGGACCACGTGGGCGTGGCGGCAGCTTGTGGCTTCCTGTTCCAGCAGTCTGCCCGCCAGCAGTGGGGATGCCTGGCCCATGGCTCCGGCAGCCTCTGTCCGCCACGCCTCACAGTAGCTCTCGGTCAGCCTGCGCCCACTGGGGTCTGAGCCATGCCATACACTCTTCTGGGGCCTGCAAGATGCACCTGGCTGTCAGTCACACCCACATCCACCCCTCCGCAAGCAGAGACCCCTGCCCCCCGGGGGAGGAAAGGTGGAGGCCAGCAGTGAGCTGGCCCTGGGCAGAGGGAGGGCTGCGAGGTCCATGCTTCCCTTAGCTCCACCTCTTGGGTACACCAGCTGCAGAAGGGGCAGGTGTTGGGGCAGAGCCTGGACCAGGCCACCTCAGGACCAGTCTTGCCCAGCTGGGTGGACCTGGCCCCCGACAACCCTCACTGACCAAGGGAGCCAGGTGCTGCCTGGCTGGGGACACCTCCACCTTCGGGGAGTCCTGTGACTGAGTCCCGCCTGTGGCTCTCAGGTGGGTGCTTCTCAGAGCAGATGGCCAGGATCTGGGCACCTCCAGGAACAYACTGGCCCAGAAGACACCCTAGCCACCCTTTCAAAGGCAGGAGCACTGGCGGAACATGCTGTTATAGCGGCAGATGGAGGGGTGCTAGGCGTGAAGCCATTTGGGGGACAGTGGTCATTTCCATCAGCATACAAGCACACAGCTGACCTGGGACTTTGCCTTGGGCAGTGATTAGTTGCCTGTGGTGTTTACATTGGGGGCACAGACTGGCCAAGTCACAGACAGTGAGTGTGGAGCTGTCCACCATGGACAGGGGGCACTTAAGCAGGGATCTCTCCTGCTCCTCTGGGTCTCGTGATCATGCATGGGGCAGGGTAGCATCAGGCCAGAGGCTGGGCTCCGTGTTGGGGGCCAGGTGTACACCTCTCTCCTCTAGGGCTCTCCCCATGCTGCCATCCCGTGCACAGGGGACCTACCAGGCAGGGTGCCTCAGGACGTCCCTGCCATCGAAAGAGAAGATGCGGGCCCCGGGCTTCAGCTGGCCCCCGGAGCCTGAAAACAGGGCCTCCCAGCTGGGAGCCAGAAGTTCATCCTGCAGAGGGAAGTTGGCAGGGGCTTCCTCAGTCTCTGGTCATGTCCAGCCACAGGGGCAAGCACCAGGGAGCCCAGCCCCATCCAGGTGCCTCAGCAGACCCCAAAGGCCCAGTGAGACCCTCACCACCCTTCAGCCACACGCTGGGACCCTAGACTAAGGCCGCCGGGTCTCCCTTCCTCATGCTGGCCTCCTGCTCCCAGCCACCCTCCCCAGTCTTGGGCCTGGGGTCTGCACATCCACCGTCAGTGGTCCTGTGAGACCACGGAAGAAGCCACATGAGAGGTGCCGTGGCAGAGGCTGCTGGGCTGGTGGCACAGGTGATTAGGGCATTTCCCAACCCGGCGGCTGTGTGAGGACCTGTCACTTGTGAGCATGCCCGAGGCTTCCTGGAAACATCAGGGGTTGCCCCCCACACCCACCGGGCCTGCCCAGGGTCAGCCTCCAGGCCCCTGGGAGGAGGCCTCTGCTGGGGAAGGACCCTCAGAGCCAGCCCCAGCCCAGGCCTGGGTCCATCTGGGGACACCCCCGCGAGCCCAGGGCCCCACAGGACGTGTGCCGCTCACCTTGAGGTTGACGATGGGAACGGCCCCACGGTCAGCACGGCGCACGATGCTGTAGAGGTCCTGCAGCCGCGAGGACAAGAAGGCACGGAAGGTGCCAGCCAGCCCCACAGCTCGCGCCTGCTGGAAGCACTGGAAGTCGGCCCCTCGGATGCCGCGCATGCCGCCCGAGAGTGGGCTGTTGAGCGCGACCAGGTGGAGCTGCAGGGAGAGGCTGACACTGCATCCCAGGTGACCTCAGAGGCCCGGGGACAGCACTGAACCCCCGCACACCTACAGTACCACGCGGACAGGCCCGGAAGGCTGAGCCCCAAGTGCCTTGTGATGGGTGCCAGGGCCCACCCAGGCCACCAGCCAGGGCTGCAGAGGCAGGTGCTGGGGTCCCAGGAAACACCCCCCGTGGACCCTGATGTCCCTCCCCATGAGCTCTGCTTGGCAGGTCCGGAGCGTGGCCAACCTGGCTGTGAGCTCTGCCACCTGGAGCCTCTGGGCCCTCAAGGGGACTGACAGCCACTTGGCCATGAGAGGACGAGCCTCAGGCTGGACAGTGGCCACCCTGTGTGGCACTGCCTGGTCAGAAGCCCACCTGCAGTGCCCCAGTCCCGGGAATCCTCCCTGCAGCTGTGGCTGCCAACCCCCTTTACATTGCCCTGAGGACTAAGGGGACAGGTGGACATGCGCCCACTTTGGGGTCACTCACCACTGGCTGGAAGTCCTGGTGGGTGTGGGCAGGTGAGGCCGTGGGGCGGGCTGGCCGGAGATGCACATAGGAGCCGTGGTGGTGTGGAGCTCCCGGGTAGGGCTGGGGATCCGGGAGGCGCTGGGGGCTGGCCAGGGTGTCGTCTGCCCTCCAGGGGCGCACGGTGGAGTAGGGGTGCTCCCGCCGGGGATATGGGTTGCCCTCGTGCAGCTGCACCACTGGGGGCTGGCGGACAGCCACTTCATTGTCCTGCGGGCCCAGGTGCAGGTCTGTGCAGTGGGCTCCCACACACGGGGACCCTCCTCCCCCTGCACGTCCTTTTGTGCACTTGGAGGGGGCGTGGCTTCAAGATGACAGGCAGGGAGCTCCACCCAGACCCTGGGGGACCCTGGGTATAGGGGCAGGAGGGGAGGGAGCCCAGCCAGCTCTGGATACTTGATCATTGGACTTGCCCTCGGCTCAGGGGCCCCAGGCCCACCGTACTCAGAGACTGCCGTGCTTGCTGGCCACAGCCCCGTGGCCACCCAGGCCAAGGCCCCGACTGCAGCATTCAGTTCCCGAAGCCTCTCCATGACCCCACTCCCGGCTCCTCAACTTTCCCCAGGATCCTGAACGCCTGGCGCATGGCAGCTTCACCTGTCCCCACACTGCACTGTCTCCACAGCTGCCCCACACTGGGTGGGTTCTGGCAGTGTTGGGAGGGGTCTGCCGCCACGTGCTGAATGAATGAATGCATGGCTGAGCAGACTCAGCCGAGCCCACGGCAGGCAGCTCCCACAGCCTGACGCACTGCATAGCATACGGCCTCGTTCCTGAGCACCCCTTGTCCACCCACCCAGCTGCCTGCCATCCAGGTACCAACCCAGTGGTCCACCCATCCACCACCCACCTGTACATTTCTCTATCCATCCACCTAGCTACCTGTCCATTCATCCATTTACCTATCC